AGTTCATTCCTGGCCAGCCATAGTGTGAATATTGTGAGGGCAATGTGAGGAGAGGAGAGGCTTGGTGGCTGAAAGGAAAGCAGGCTCTTTAATGCTGATGAAATCTCAAAGGAGACATAGTTTTTATAGGAACACAGAAATTGCTAGACTGGAACAGAGCCGTGCTTCATATTGTTATGTATGCTTTTTCAGTGCTAGCTGCTTTCAGAAGCAGTGTATAGAGGCTTGCCCCGAGGGGTGATTCTTCTAACCCTCAGACACAGTGAGTTAGCCAGTGCCTTGCAGCATGAAGGGTTTTACATGCCTTCCAAAACCTTATTTTCTCTTTAAAACCCCCACAACTTGGCTATTGTAATTCCAGCTGTTCATTCTCTTTATACACATCTGATCCGTCTCTCAGTCTTCCTGAGGTTTTGACTGCAACCATACCTGGTGGTAATGATTTACCCATGCTAATTATGCAGTTTGCAGAGGAAAACGTATTGTTGGTAGCTTTAAATGGAGTGATTTTTCAGTTTAATTGAACTTACCTCTTAGTATCCCTGGGGGAGGCTTGCAATTGAGTTCCTTCCCTCCCCCTGAGACACAGAGGCACTTTTTCAAGCCCAGCAACAGTCACTTGTTGAGATGTTTTCCAGTTGCTTTCCCTCTTGTCTGTTCCATTTAAATTGGAGCCTCTCTGCAGATGAAGCTTTGCGAGAGGAAATAGCTTTCTCTGCTTGTCGAAAGAATGAAGAAGCCTCGTGTTGAGTTGTTTGTTGATATTTCCTGACAGTTCTTCAGAGTTCCTTGCTGCTCCGCAGCTGTTAAATTTGTTGTCTCAGCTGCGAGGATTACTCTAGCTTTGCTTGAGCTGCATTTTCTCACCATTCATCAAGCTTCTGGTGATGCACGGAAAGATCCATCAACACCAAAGCCACCTCCAAAGTAGCGTTTGAGTAAAAGTCTGCCTCCCGATTGCCTGGATAAGATTGAAGTTGCTGCCAATTTTAAAGGGTGTTTGTGGTTTCTCAGCGAGCTTGCAGACGATGGTGTAGGGGGTTTGCAGTAGAAGAAAACAGAGGTTACATCAGGATATAAAGCACACACACGTTGGGGTTTTTGAAAGCCTCCTTCCAGGACCATGGGGAGAAGCGCAGCTGGAGATGCTGTGCCTTACCTTGATGGGATGCAGCCCATCTTCAGGGCTCCTCAGCTGGAGACAGATGTGACATGACAAATGTGGCAGGGCAGGTGGCAAGCAGGTTTTCAGGGTGGTAGTATCTTCACAAGCGTGAATAGAAACAGCAACGAGCCTGGATTTCTTACGTGTTCTTGGCAGAGGGAACAAGAGGGAGAGGAAGGAGGTGGCTGGTGTTCAGGCATGCCTTCACTGTTGGTATGGCAGCTTCAGGAGGGGTTTATTCTGTGATTTAGCATTTTATTCTGCCTTTTGGCTTTTGCTGTATTGTCTAAGATCTCACAATACCAGGACGGTGTGGCAATGGTGCTCTTCTTCATTGCTATCTCACAGTCATTAAAAATGTATAAGCAGTTTCAGAAGCAAGTTGCTTCCTCTGAGGAGCAAATCGTCCATAATTCTGCTTGGTATTTAGAGACTTATCTCCAGAGAGAACTCAAAACTCTTCAGTGTGGTCTTGATTTATTTTATTCTCTTGAATTTTCAGAGCTAAAGATGAAAAAGGGCTTACCAGGAAAAGAATTACAGACTTGAGCTGTGCAGAGAGAAGCCAGGGGCCACCTTATGGTCCCACCACCTATTGAGCAGCTCATGTAACACCCTGAAGGACCTATGAAAGTCTTTTCTAGCCAGCCTACCCCTTTTGGAGGTAGCAGATTCAGACTGCTTTATAAACAGCTGTCCATCAACCAGGCTTGCTTGCTGTCATAGCACGCTGCCAGTATAATAAAGAGAAACCATTGATGCAAGAGCTGTGAATGCATAAACGGGCTGGCGTGTTCTTGGTGCAAACTTGAATAAGGGAAGTTTGGTTTGATTTATTTCCAGCAAACTGTGGTGAGAATGAGCCTGGGATAAGCCATCTCCACATGCACAAGAATTAGTGCAGCAAGTTGCTAAATACCCTTGATTTCTTAAGTGTTTTCTTAGCTTCTGAGGCTTTCTGCTTTGTGTTGCATGAAAGAGGGTTATCATCCTCCCCTCTCTGTGTGGAATCGGAGGCTGCACTGGACTTGATGCCTACGAGTCCTTGCTGCACTTGGGCAGAAAGCATGTTTTATAGCTGAGAGAGATGAGAGAGGGAAAGGTGCACCTTGCAGCTGTAAGGAAGCTAAAGCTTTTGGAAAGATGGCCAATTCAGCAAGGCAAACATTACCTTACAAAGAATGGGTTTGAACTGTGTTTACCACCCTTTCATGCCTGAATTTAGAGAGTAGGAGACAGGAGCAACTTGGGGTTTGGAGAGATAAAGAGAGCCACGAGGACTGAAATCCCTCTTTGTTCTTCTGAGAGTAGGTACCTTGACGTTAGGCAAGGAGGAAAAATCCTCCCTCTCATTTCCCTCTCATCCTAAGTCTTGAATTCCTGTGTCTGTTCCCACTGCTCGGTGGCACAGGTGTGATGATGCCAAAGTGCCCTTGTGTTGCAATCCTTGGGTATTTTGCCAGCACCTCCATCAACCAGATGGTCGATGGCTGTGGGTTGCAGGAACCTGTGTAGTTCTGCTGTTTGGTGAACCCCAAGGTGTGTTTCTATTGCTGACAGATGTTCCTTGGGTTTGCACTCAAAAATCCAAGCACTGGGAAGCCGTTCTTAGCAGTGGGTAATGGGTTAGGTGAATGCAGCATCCCTCTGTGCTCCATGTTCTAGGTAATTACAACCCTGCCGCTCATGTAGCATAGCACAGTGGGTGCCTTGTATTTATTAGCTTTGCTATTAACACTGAGCTGGTGATGCAAAGGCAGCTGCTTCTCTGGGAATCTCGTGATTCTCCACCAAACCAGGCTGCAAGCAGGAGAATTGGCCTTGTGGTTCATCCCTCGGATGTGCAAGAGGAAGGGGTGAGAAGTGGGAATGGGCTGTGGAGGGTGCAGATACGCTGCTAAAGGTGATGGCAAGGTGAAAAGAGCCGAAGGTTTCTGCTAGTTTTTGGTACAAACCCCTTTTGATGAGTTGCTCTTTTGAGCAAAGAGGGAGTGCTGTGGTGAGGAAACAGCAGGGATGAGCATTTGACAGGTTTGTAGTCGTGTGTCAAGATGTGTTTGAAGCCTTTCTCTGTGTCTCTTTTCACTGATGGCTCTTGTAGTCTCCTCTAGACTGCTTTGCCCAGGGAGAAGGGGACAATAGAGGAGAAATAAGGCAAACCACATCTGAGGCCCTTTATCAGATGCTTTGCTAGTTGACATGTAGTTAATCACCACCGTCTGGCTGCTCAGGACATTGTTTGCATGGAAAGCATGCCTAGGGTGGCAATGCAGGACCTAAAGGAAGAGAAGAAGATCGTGGATCTTGGCAGTGGCTTTGGAGCAATCCTGAGCATGATGCAGCTCTTTGGGATGCAGAACTCAAGCTTCTTTTATGGTTCTCTGGCTCCTTCTGTGGCTCCATGGGGAAGGATTGAGAGGGGATGTGCCTGGGTGCGACTTTGGTGCTGGTTCCATAGCCTGTGCTGTGGTACTGGTGGGAATAAATCCGATGTGATCCTGCTGTTCTGTCAATAACTTGGAAAGTCTGCAAAGAACTGCTTCAAACTGCTCAAATGATAACGTTGCTCCACAATCTGTCTGCTCTGCTGCCAGCACTTCCATGTAACCCATTTACCATGCGCTTAACCTGTTAGGGTTTTTGACTCCCTAGGATTTAACCTTAACTCCCACTAAAAAGAAGGGGAAACTGTCATTGCCTTTCTCAGAGGTGGCTACTGGTTTCCTGGTGGTTTTTTGGCAGCTTTTTCTTGTTAAAAATGCATTGAACTCACAACTTGTGCCATCTTCAAATGTCCAACTGATACTAGAGCATGGAGTCCCTTGATTTTCTCCACCTGAGAGAACTGGGACTCAGGGTGCAAAGGAAGCATTGATCTGGAGAGAAATGGAGCCCCACGGAATGGAGATGTGCTCTCTGCTCAGCCCCTGTGTTGCCTTCGCTTCTATGGGCACATGTCAATATTTCTTTCCCTGTGAAAAGGGGTGAGCGCTGAGATGAGATGGAGGAAATGGGAATGTAATCTAAAATGAGACAAATGGAAAAATTCCAAGTTAAAAGCTTTGTCTTTCTCCAACAAAACTCCTGGTGACTTCCAAGGCAGGGTAAAGACTTTGCTTGTGTCGGGTCTGAAGTATTTAGCCCAAGAATTAGACAAATGGAGTAGCATGAGAATGTTTGCTGGATAATTGGACAAGGGAGAGATAAGGGAACAGATTAAGTAGTTCTCATTTAAGGACATTGCTGCCTTGGAGATAATTTGATCAAATTGAGGGACAACCATTTCTCCTGTAAAGTAAAATCCACCCTGTAAGAGGAGCAACAAAAAGTGGTCCTGCTCTTAGTCTTGTCCTGAATCCTCTTGCACCTGAAAGGGAGGGAAAGAGGTGGTGACTGTCACTGGGGCAGGAGCAGTACAAATAATGGGTTTCTAGGTTGGGGGCCAAAGTTACATTGTTGTTATGAAACTGTTTTGTCCTAGCCTAAAAGCAGAAGTCAGTATTCTGTTTTAAGTTGTAGGCTGTTTTGAGCGGGGAAGAAAAGGGAGGAAGGTGGAAAGAGAAATTAAAGATCTGACTCACTTGGTTTTGTGGAAATGCTGAAATTGCCAAAATGAAATATTTGGACTTTTCCTTGTTTTGCTTCCTTTTTTTTTTTTTTTTTTTGTTGGAAGCTCTTCTGAATAATTCATAGTCTGTAAATAGCTTCCTCCTCCTCCTCCTTTGGTAAATAGACTCTTTGTCCCAAGTGCTTGGCAAGCGTGAAGCAGTGTCATCCTGCTGAGCCTCTGGTTCAAGAGCAGAGGTGCTCATGGTGCTTTGCATTCTCTCTACAGAGAGTTATGTCATGCCCAGACCACCAAAGGGCTCCATGAGGATTTATGGAAGATGCCCCGTGTCTTGGCGCCTCTGGTGCTCCTTCTGCTGTGGCTGATGAGGATCGCTGCCAGCCCCCATTCCCTGAGGATCGGTGAGTACCAAGCTTGCTCTGACCTGTGCTTAACCATCCTTCTACTCGTTGTTTGAGCCACTCTGTGTAGAAATGCTTGCACCAAGGGTGCCAAGCCTTGCCTTTGTTGGCTGGGTTCCCTGCCTTGGTGGTGTGCTCACTGTTCAGGTGGGGATGAGGTGTTATAAATGAAATGCAGTTTATGGTGGATGTATGTATTTGCATTCATTTTTATGGTGGCAATTCTACCTGATGGGAATCTTTCTGTATAGTTTGAAGTGAAAGCCACTCCTCAAAGAGGCACTGAGGAGTGATATTTTCCCCAGGCTCTGCTTGATGCTCTCCTAAACTCCACACAAAAGGAACTGGTTTTCTGTTGTCCCCACATGGATGAGCAAGGAGTGTTTGAGTCCAAACCAAACCTAGTGAAGCAGTGCCACTTTCTTTGTAAGAAAGCCCTGTGCCATTGGTCTCCTTCTGGCTTTATCAGAGTGTTCAAGAAGAGGCACCATCATCTTTGCTTGCTGCCTGTGCGGATGCGCATTCAGGACCTTGTAATGAAACTTGCTATACATTATTGACACGTTACTCTGTTGTTTAGAAACCTGACTGTTCTCTCTGGAGCTACTAGCTGGTTGTATAAACTATTTGTTGCATATTAGCTGATCTATTCCTGTCCCCCCTTGCAACTTTCAGAGGTGAACACTTGAAGTAAAATTACTTCTCCCTTCTGCTCATGGAGCAGCTCAGAAATACAGCAAAGGAGGGTCTGTGCTGGCAGGAGTTTGAGAAGGGTGGCTGGTGTTTTATATCCCCAGCAACTGTGATTCATGTGGAGCACTCGTGCTGCATAGCCTGAGCTCTGCAGACTGCATTTCATGTTGATGGGCAGGTCCCCTACTTAAGCGAGCAGATGGGGTTGGGGATGGACAGTGTGTTACCAGCATGCTGAGGGTGAAAGAGCCTTCATTGTACCTTGTGCCCCAGCCATCTTTCATGGGCAAAGTGCTGGGGGTGCTTGGGAATGCGAGGGGAAGGGGAGCTCCCCTAGCAGCACTGGGTTGCAAACCAGTCTGGGAGCTGTGCAGCCCAAATGGGAAGGTGTTGGAGAGAGGTGGGGATGTGCGTTTGTGTTCCTGGTTGAGGGCTGGCAATGAAAATCTGTGCTGCATTGCACTGGGGGCAGCTACCAGACAGGATTAACTGCTGCCTTCCAGTCTCAGCTTGGGCTCCCCAGTGGAGTTGATGGTGGCTGCTGTGATCTATGTCAGTGTGGATCTCTGAGGGCAGGCAAGAAGAAGCCAGGGTGCCTGTGGGGTAAGGGGACAGAGAGTGTTAAATATGAGTGGCCAGAGACTGTGCAGTCAAGTGTTTCCAGTCACCTCCTGCCTCCAAAGAATGGGACATCTGGAGTCCTGATCATGGACCTGGCCGATTCCCACACATGGATTTCCTGAGGGAGGGGAAGCTTGGATAGGTATGTCAGTACATCTCTGCTGCTTTTGTTCTGCTCTTGGCCCCAGAGCTAAGTGCTCTGAAAATGGTGCCTGAAGCAGATGGGCAAAGGGCTGAGGGGGGGGGTTGGGGTTTTATCTTTGTTTCTTCAGGAGGTGCTTTTATTTTAACAATCTTTCCAGCAAAAAAGTTAATAAAAATAAAGTACAGAATAAAAAGACAGAAAAAATATTACTAGCAGCCCTGAAATCATTCCCAGATGCATGCTTTTGGCAAGGCAGGGAGATACGGTATCTAGCAACATAAATCAGTGCGCTGCATAAGAAAGGAAAACAGGCCAGCATGAACATTTAAATGTTCAAAGAAAATGCAAGCTAACATTTGAAACCATCCCGAAACCCATCTGGTAATGGACTGCTCAAATGCACAGTTGTATGATTAGTAATGTGAAGTGAACACAGGCCGTGTCGTGTTTGGGTTCTTCAAGTTGCTAGAAGAGATTATTGCCTGCTGCGCTTGGCTTCCAGGGTAGGAGGAGGCATGTTGGTGCTGAGTCAGGGGCACTTGGCTTTTACACTGAGCACTGAGCTTCCCTGCTGCTGCTTTCTTGGGGTTTGGGGTGGATCCTCGCCCAGATACTTCTCAGTGGAGTTTCTAGGCAGCAGATTGCTTAATCTTTGAGCACACAGTGACAGGAAACGCTGCTAGCCTGGCCAGGACCAACAACGAGTGTTGCATTGCGGTGAGCTTTAGAGGCACAATCACTGCAAGAAAGAGAGCAGAATATAGGCTGCAGGGTGACCTTCCCTGGGATGCTGGCATGCACAGGAGCAATCTGTAGACTACTGTGTACTCTGTTTCTTGATACACAGGGAAAAACATTGCTCTGGGATTTTTCAGCCTTAAACTCCGTGTGTTCCCTTCTGATCCAATCCTGGAGCAAGTCCCCTAAGAGGCAGGGTGTGGGGAGAAACTCTAACCCACATGTCTTATCCCAAACAGTGTCCTTAAGAGTGTCTTTTGTTTATCAGTCTGATTACCTGCCCTGTCTCGGTGAAATATTATTCCATAGATGCTCAAAAGCTGATTGTGATCAGGGTGTGAAAAAGCAGGCAGGAATGGGCATGTTCTCAGGAGGTATGTAATGAATTGCCTCAATACATGCTGTAGCCCTTGAAAAGAGACAATATACATCCTTCCTAAATATCCTGGGAGGAAATCCCAATAGTTGGTCCTTTCCCAGTGTGCACCCTTGCATCCAATCGTACCAACAGCAGGAAAGACATAGCTCCCTCCTGCTTATCCCAATGGCTGGCGCTCTGGGCCAGCATCTCCCCTAGCTCTGGTTTCCTGCAGCATGTAGTGGCTGTAGAAGTAATTCTGGGGTTTTTCTGTTTGTTTGGTTGTTCATTCATGCTCAATAAAGTGCCAGGAAATTTACTTGAGTTATTTACGGAGTTATTTACTTGATCTTGTGGAGCAGGCTGACACTGCTCTAAATTGGTATTCTTGTGCTGGATTCATTGGGTGTACTAACAGCCCATTGAAAATTCATATGCAAGCCACTGTTGTAGTTTATACATGGCATTGCCCTAACTAGCAGTACATTCAGTAGCACTGATATACAGTCTACTGCCAAACTCCTCCTTCAGCCCTGCAGCTCTTTAAAGTGCTCTTTTCTGTAATTCCCTGTATCCAAGTCTCTTCCCCCCAACTCTGCAAACTTCATACAAAAGGCAAGACGCAGCTCTAGCATTAAGGGTGTTATTTTGTTTGGTGAAACTTGGTGTTCTTCTATCCCATACCCACTGAACAACCCACACTGCTGTCCCAGGGCTTGTGGTAGGGTTTCATCCATCAGAGAAGCAATATGTGGTTGAAGTCGCTATGGAGTCTGAGCTGATGGTGGGACTAGAAGTGCCAGCCTGGGACGTTTGACTTGTTCCTAGGCATGTTTCCAGAAGTCTAGAGTAACTAAAGGGCTTTGGATCTCCTACATCTATTCAGATCATGGAACTGTAATGGCAGGAAAACGTTCTTGGGATCCTCCAGAGCGTGTGGAGTCATGGGAAAGGATTGGCATTTAGCTGTTCATGCTGAAGTTTGTGGAATAGACAGACTGGAGACGTGCATCCAGCTTTTCAGCATCACTGTGATTGTATAGTGCCCTTCTATTTCCTGCCTGTAAGACTGGTGTAGCAGAGCATCATTTCTATGGCCTTGCATCCCTGCATAATTACTCTCCTGAGGCACTTATGTGTTTAGTGAGCTGAAGTGCCCGTAGCTGCACAGTGTGCTTCTGTCCTGTCCAGCACACTTTGTACACTGGTGCGTGAGGGCTGGGAGCAGGGGAGAAACACTGAATGTTAAAAGCATGTAAGGCAAAAATGAGTGATAATGGCAATAAGAGAATTGTGGACCATTTAGTTCAGCTCCCCCAGCTCCCAGAGGATATATATAATTCTCCTAAGGCATTGCAGAGAAGATGCCACAAGGCAGCACGCTATTAAACATTAACATTTGGAAGGGTGATGGTGCCACTGGTGATGAAGGTGCAGCCAGTCCCCCGGATGCTGCAACAGAAAAGTGATGCTAGACCCAACAGGTGAGTTATGAGATAGGAAGAAACATAACTGTGCCCTGTATGGCAGGCAGAGCTGTGCCTTTGTGGCAGGTTGGTTTATGCCCCTGTATCCCAGTTGCAGCTAGCTAACATGGCCTGAGACTCCACTTGTCTCACCTGCTTGGAAGTGGAGGAGCGCATTAATGTAGACAAGCATAAGCTCCTTTCAGTATGCAGCGCTGCTTTCTGCCATGCCCAAGGCCTTTGTGGACTATATCAATGCAACTGCATTAAACTGCTGTCCACCAGTTTGCTATTCCCCAGCAGAGAAATGGCCTTGAACCTAGCAAGGCTGCTGCGATCAGCTTAAAGCAAAGAAACACTCTCCAAGTCTCACATGGTGGTGCTGTTGCTGGAAAACCTTTCCTCTTGTAATCATGGATAATGTTAAAAGAAAACAAAGCTTCTGGTAGGGGTTAGGTGATGCTGCCTCTGGCCAGCTCTTCCACCATCACTGGAAGCAGAGGCGTTAGGTACTGCCTATGCAGGATGTGGCTCAGCTCCATGACTCCTCACCAGAAGTCAGCAGGCTGGAGGGGAAGAACTGGGCTAGAAAACAAAGCATTTCACTGAGACATGTGAGATTAGCTGGCTTCTTTGTGTGTGGACCTAACTGCTTTTAAAGGATTAAAAATAATCCTTAAATAGCCTTTAAAATAAGCCATTGTGAGCTACGGGGTGCCAGTGCCCGATGCTGTACCTGAGGGGCAGCAGCACTCATGGGATGTGTGACACGTGCTTTTGAGTCCTGTTGTGTTTGGACTGTGATAATATCAGCCTGGCTTGAGGAGGGTGTAGCTGCTTTGGGGGGGCAGGTTGAGGGGTACCCATTTGGCACAAGGGACATTGGATGAGTTAACTGCATTATGTTTGTCAAGTTGCATCTGGAGAAGTAAGGCATGGACAGAGGGCTGTAGTGACAGAGGCAGGTATGGGCTGCAGC